CGGGGTCGCAGCACGGAAGGCTTTGGCTCCCTGGGCACGGCGACACCAACCGGGTATGCCCCAAAGGGCTTCAGGGGAAGATGGGCAAGGCGGTGAAGGAGCAGGAAGAGGGGCGTCATCTCCAAGCCAAGGCGGTTCGAGAATTTCATACCGTTTGCTGGAGGTACACCCGCCACCGGAAACGTCCGGCTGATGAAGCCTGTTTTGTGGACGATGAGCCAGCCTCTTGAGAATCATGCAGCCAGCGTGTTGAGTGATGCCATAGCCGAAGATCGGGCAAACTTCGCACTTGAGGTTTCGAACGCCAGAGTCTTCTGCCAGGCTTCTCCCGTTCATCCAAGAGCAATTGCCAAGCTTCGGATCGGTATGCTTCCTCATTTTCGTTTTTTGGTTGACCTGCCTCAAGCTGCCACATCCTGCTTCCCCTTGGCGTGAATCAAGACAGCATATCGGCGCATTCGTTACATCAACACAGAATCTGGCACTTGCCACCTGCAATTGTAGTGGGCGAACAGTCTCCACGACGTTCCACTATCGAAATGAAGCAGGTAAGCAAACATGAGCGACCCTGTGAATCCGTACGGATGCCGGAATGATGCTGTGAATATATCTAGGATTGAAGACCATTTGTCCATGTTTTTTCACGGACTGCGCCTCAAGGAAGACTCAAAGAGACATGCAGCACTGTAATTTTTCACGACCCATCGCTTACAGAGCACTGTAGGCTTGAGGTCTGAATGAAGGTGAAGTCGACACAATCGTCCTTTCGCAGAGAACGACACTCCAGGGCAGTCTTCGTCGGGATGGCAAAGCGTAGTCTGCGAAGGGTTCCTAGGCAGGAAGGATTTGGCAAGGATGAAACTCGGAAGACTGGGCATGCTCCCAGAAACCTCTCTCTGTCTTTGACAACATGCCAACTTGTGTGCTGGTATTCAAAAGCCTGAAGCTCTGCTCCTGTGAAGTTCTTCGATGGATGCGACTCCGACTCCTCGGCCGACGACCCTCCTACAGACACCGCCTCGCCGCAGACACCGATCGGCCGCAGCTAGCTCAAGAGCAAACCTGCTGCGACCCAGAATCTCGACACCTTGCGGAGATCCCAAGGCCAGCCCAGCTGAGCACAATGAGCAGAGTGACCGCCTCACGCCGATCAGCGAGGCTTCTGACAAGCGCTGAGTCGCAAGGTTGTGTTGGACAGCATCCGGTTTGCAAGAATTGCAGGGCAGGAGGCTCCGACTAAACGAGACGGACAGCAGCACCGGATCCACTGTGCAGGAGCCATGCTGGCACTTGTCTCAAGAAGTTTCGATGGCATGGGGCGCCTTTAGCCACAGGACAGTGACATCGAGAACAAGCCTCCCGGGCTTGACCAGGAGGAGGCCAGGCTGTCTAGTGAGTCTAGTGCCGCTAGCTGCATGAGGTTCCCGTTGCACTATGTTTCACTGTATCGTTTCCCGTGGGTTCTTATGCCTACACCGGACTGGACAACGCGCGCACACAACCACCCATAACTGCTCAGGTCCCTAAACCAGTGGCTGTTCTAGCCGTTTGCGGCTTGACTAAATCCACCGAGAAAAGACGCTATTTCAACTTTCCTAAGCTCGCAAGTCGAGAGGTGGATCCTTCAACTCCTTGAAGCAGCGACAATCCTCTGCAAAAAAGACGTGGGGTTTGCTTCTCGCACTTGCCCCCTGCCAAGTCCTTCTTGCCAAAGGCCACGTCAGCGAACAACCCCATCAGATCGGCCCAGAATCACGCTTCTTGACCCGCCGCTCTTCCGAAAGCGAGCTCTGTCATTCCACATATGCACTTCTCACTGAAAGTTGTGGAGTTTTCAACACGAAGCCGGGCGTGGAGTGGAAGCCCCTGCGCGGGGTGTAGAGAAAAGACTTTTGGAGCTGGCAAGTTGCTACAGACGGCCGCGAGCCAGCCACCAACGACCGATGCGATATCATCGGTTGCCCGCGTGAAGCGAAGAGTGCAGTCAGGATAAGGAGCACCCGCCATGTTGAACTGGGCCTGTTGTCAACAGCCACCCAGAAGTGGTTCGACGGTGAGCCTGGAGCTTTGAGTACTGTCTTTTACCGGGGAGTCCTCCGCTGCGTTGAGTTTCCAGCCTTGTCTTTCGAGCCTGCTATTGGTACTGGGTAGGTCTCAACTCCGGAACCTGCAGCCCGGGTGATGCGCTCCCCCGGTTGGGTGCCTGGGCGGCGAGCGCTCGAGTTGGGGAACGTGCTGCAGGCCCCCGCCCAGCCCCGCCACAGAAGCGGACCGAAACAGCTGCCGACCAGGAGCTTGCTTTGGATGTTCCCGAGGAGCTTACCGGGCAGGCACCCTCTCGCAGAGAGTCTCAGAGATGGAGGCAGTGAAAGCAACTGCCAGGCGCAGGCTCCAGACTCACATTCACCTCCCTCTTCCGAGGGATCCCCTCCGAAGGAGCAGCGGGAGAAGGCAGTGCTCCGTTTCCAGGTCTCACATGGTCTCACAGAGGTGCGCCTGCACCCGCCACTGGAAAACTCATGCTGTCGCACAGAATCTGGGGGAGCTGCTGGATGAGCGCATCGCAGCTAATGAAGGTGGAAGGCCGGGTTGTCAGTTGCCAGTTGCCTCAGAAACTAAGTTTTATTGTTCCAGGTACTCTTTCGACATCTATGTCGATCCAGAAAACCGATGAGGTCTCAGCTGTGTCTCGGTAACGTGCCAGCTTTCAAAGCCTCCCGGAGGAGAACAGAGAATCTCGAGTGCGGATCGCGACTCGTTTCACTGCTGTGAGTACCGCAGTGTCAATCCACGCTCGGTACTGCCGCCGTTGGTTGAAGATGCTCTGTCGCGAGTTGGAAGCAGCAGAGCTGCTGACGGCAAATTCGGCATTGAATGTTTGACATAACTTCCGGTTTTTTTCTGCACTGTAGATGGGGGAACGTGGTAGGGTGTCTAGGGGCACGTTAGACACTGCCACAGGCAAAAATGGCTGGCTCGTCCGTGATCCATGTCCGATAGCAGTTGCGTGCTGTGAGATTCAATGTTGAACGTGGATATTTTGGCCGTCGTGGGCTCCCCTTGTGCTCAAGAACCCGTAACTGATTGCCAACCTATCCCGCATGGCAGCAAGAATGGCGTCTCCAGCTGTTGGACTCAGTCCAGTGGCTTTCACTGTGATTGGCAGTGCATCGAAGCCCCAGCTGCGAGGAGCGGTCCTGAAGGCTCAGACTCAGAGGGAGTCTACAAACGGTGCTTTGCTTCTAAGCAGCTGTGCATCAGCCTTGGGTGCCGCTGCGGTGGCTTCTGGACTCAAAGCCAGCCGCTTCGGGAAGAGGCGTCACGGCACCGTGTGCCGTGCAACCGCCGTGATGAACAAGGCAGAGAAGCTGGCAGTCCCTGGTAAGATCCTGGACAACGTCGACATTTTCATATTCGACTGCGATGGTGTGATCTGGCGTGGAGATTCCGTCATCCCAGGAATTCCTCAGGTGATTGAAAACTTGCGCGCGGGGGGGAAGAAGCTCTTCTTCGTGACCAACAACTCGACCAAGAGCAGAGCCGGGTACAAGTCCAAGTTCACTTCCCTTGGTCTGGATGTGCAGCCAGAGGAAATTTTCTCCTCATCCTTTGCTGCTGCTGCATATCTAGAACAGACTAACTTCAAGCAGACCGGCAAGAAGGTCTACATCATCGGAGAGAAGGGAATTGGTGAAGAGCTGGATCTTATCGGTGTCCCATGGTTTGGGGCTGAGGCAGACAAAGACAACCAGCCCAACATGGGATCCGGCGGCAGAGTAGAGGTCGACCACGATGTGGGCGCAGTGGTGGTTGGCTTCGATCGGCACATCAACTACTACAAGTTGCAGTACGCGCAGTTGTGCTTGAATGAGCTGCCCGGCTGCGAGTTCATCGCCACCAACTTGGACCGCGTAACTCACCTGACCGATGCACAGGAGTGGGCTGGAAACGGGACGATGGTCGGGGCAGTCACTGGCTGCACCGGCCGCGAGCCCACTCTTGTGGGCAAACCTGCCCCACTGATGATTGACTACATCGCGACGAAGTACGGCATCACGGATCGCTCCCGCATTTGCATGGTCGGGGACAGGCTGGACACAGACATCGCCTTCGGTCGCAACAACGGCCTCAAGACTTGCCTGACTCTTTCTGGCGTGACATCCGAGGACGAGTTGATGGACCGTGTGCCGCGCAAGAAGGGTACGGAAGGGATTCAGCCGGAGTTCTACGTGGAGACCATCAACGATTTCTTCGCGGGCGTTTCCAGGTGACACGTAGCATCCTGAATTTGTGCGATTTGCTTCGTTGCTTCCTTGCTGTTGTGTTTCATACTTCGGACCCCTAGAAAGCCTTAATGAGCCTTATAACATACGAGTAGGCTATCAGAGTGTCAAATCCGCAAACCAAGAAGAACGGCACCTTTCTACTCCAATCTCGTTGGCTGCAGTTCCGAGGCTCCTTCTTCCGGGCAAGCTGCTCCTCCACCAGCTGCTCCTCCTTCACCTGCAGCTGGTAACCCCTTCATCAAAAATTAAAGGATCCCTCCAAGGGAGGGAACACCTACCGTAAACCCTAGTTTCCTAAACCGAATGTCCCAATGCTGCTCCAAAGCTTAGAGGCAACAGTGTACGTTAGGATTTAAGAGCATGTGGCAGAGTTTTCCATGGACTCTGGCTCGTGAGCACAGAAATATTGTGCTCTGCACTGTACAAACGATTTTCCACAGTCCTCTGATCAAGCTGATGCTTGACAGGACAGGCTGAGACTGCGCATGCGGGAAGCAAAGGGGCCGTGCATTCGTCGTCTTCAACCCCCGAGCACCGGCCAAGATTTAGGGCCAAGCTCCTGTCCCTGCCTCGAGCTCAAGCTGCATCTGGCTGCGCACAGGCATCCCAAGACTTAAACGAGTTCTCTGACGCATGTGCAGAATCACTTCCATCAAAGCACACACGATCTCGAGCAAGCACAACTCCGACTAAATACCCGGAAAGCCGTGGCAGATGTCCGGTCCGTCGAAGTTGGACGAGCCGTCCAAGCTTCTTTCCAATGTTGACGTCTTCATCTTCGATTGCGATGGAGTGATTTGGCGAGGTGACTCGCTCATCGACGGAGTCCCATCTGTCTTAGACCAGCTTCGCCTCGCTGGTAAGAAAATCTTTTTCGTTACGAACAATTCAACCAAGAGTCGCGTGGGTTACAAGTCCAAATTCACTTCTCTTGGTCTGGATGTGCAGCCAGAGGAAATTTTCTCCTCATCCTTTGCCGCTGCTGCATATCTAGAACAGACCAAATTCAAGGATACTGGCAAGAAGGTCTACATCATTGGAGAGAAGGGAATCAGTGAAGAGCTGGACGCAATTGGCGTTTCATGGCTGGGTGGAGAAGCAGACAAGGAGAAAAAAGCTGACATGGGTCCCGGCGGCAGGGTGGAGATCGACCACGATGTGGGCGCAGTGGTGGTTGGCTTCGATCGGCACATCAACTACTACAAGTTGCAGTATGCGCAGTTGTGCTTGAATGAGCTGCCCGGCTGCGAGTTCATCGCCACCAACTTGGACCGCGTAACTCACCTGACCGATGCACAGGAGTGGGCTGGAAACGGGACGATGGTCGGGGCAGTCTCTGGCTGCACCGGCCGCGAGCCCACCCTTGTGGGCAAACCTGCGCCGCTGATGATTGACTACATCGCGACGAAGTACGGCATCACGGATCGCTCCCGTATTTGCATGGTCGGGGACAGGCTGGACACAGACATCGCCTTCGGTCGCAACAACGGTCTCAAGACTTGCCTGACACTTTCTGGCGTGACCACCGAGGACGAGTTGATGGAGCGTGCGCCGCGCAAGAAGGGCACGGAAGGGATTCAGCCGGAGTTCTACGTGGAGACCATCAACGACTTCATTTCAGCCGCCAAGGACGCCTAAGGCGCATAAAGCTGCTCAAGTTTTTCCAGATGACAACGGGCAAATGTCCTGCGTCTACATTTCAGAGATCCTTACATGCACAAGCAAAAGTTGTTGGCTTCCCAGATTGCACAGCTGGTTGAGGGGGTTGTGCTGGTGCTTGAAGCTGCTTGAAGGCTCGTGGAAGGTCAGTTCGCGGATTTTTTTTCAACTCTCACAGAGCGGGCCCGGGGAGCCGGGGAGGGCGCTGGGGAAGGCCGCGGCGAGGCTCGGCCTGAGAGGTCTCTGCCTTCTTTGTAATCAAGCGACCGATGCGAGGCAGTGACCCGATGCCGCCAAAGAAGCCTCAGGAGACCATTGGGGATTTCGCACTTGGCACTGAGAGATTGCTTGCCTCTGCGTGTCCGTCTGCAGGCTGCCGAGCCTGTGGAGGAGGAGGTCAAGGCTCGGGGCTCAGGGGCATCGACACTCCCTTTCACGAAAGCATCCCAGTTCAAGGTTCTCAAGATAGAAGAAGATATGAGATGCGCAGAAATTTTGGGCAGTTGGGCGTGGCCAGGAAGAACCTCCTCCCGAGATCTTGCAAGGAGACTTCGCCACGCCCTCGGGCGATTTCTTTCTTCGGCGAAACTCCCGAAAGCCAACAGCATGTAGCCAACGATGTTGTCAGGTGTTTCCAGATGGCTCGACATACTCAGGGCAGTACCTGAAGAAAGGTGCCATCAGATGTTCGCAAGCGCTTTCGTGTCGAGACCTAGTTGGTCATTGCTGGCCAGGTGAATCAATATGCATGCACGGCGATGGCCATCTGCAAAGTGGTCCGCAAACCTTCGAGGCCTCCACACTCTGAGGCATATCGTTGACTTACAACTCTGCAGACGAACGGAGAGACGTGGCAGCAATTTGTTGAGCAGAGTCTTCATCGTGCATGCAAGCTGCTCGTCAAATTGGGAATTGCGATGCTTGTGAATCTTGTAATCATTCCACCGTTCCAACCCGGTTTGCCTGCCTCCGACGTCGTATTGTCAACCTGAATCATGCTTCACGTGCAACCAGCCTCTCTCGATCAGCGGGGCAGGCACTTGGTGCATTTCGATGTGCTTTTTCCTTGATGCATGCCAGGGCTCGTTCGACAATGGCATGTACAAGGTGGGCCTCTATCGGCGTTTTGCTAGTTGCATCTGACCATAAGGTTTGCATGATGTTTGCCGCATCTGTGCCGTTTCCGTCTATGCATGTTTCGAGCTTTCTACTAGTACTGGCTTAAGACCAGCTAAAAGCCAGATGGGCCGCTACAGCAGCTGCAGCGGTGCGGCTTTGTCCCAAGATGAGTCTAGACAAGACAAGACTGTCCTTGTGTGACTTCCGACCGCTGGATCTCAAATTGAATTTGCAACAGCACCGAGCCTCAGCCAATCTGACTCACTGGCTGATGTAAGGTGTATACGGGCCATTTTCGGAAGAACCAATTCCATGGAGTGCTTTGGCTGCAGTGTGGGGGTTTGGCCTCATGTTGCGATGCCTTGCCAGAGTTGCTTCGGTCCTCTTCGCGAAAACCATGTCTCAAAACATATCAGAACACGAATGCGAGGTTGGCGACTACAAGTGGCCCGATGGTCGAGAATATCGCGGCACGCCTGAGGCCCGGCATCCACCACAATGGCAGGCTGAAGACAGCCTGAAATCGTACAGGGCTCGGCAGGTGGAAAGCTCTGGGCTCCTGGGCCTCAGGGTAGATGACCTGGGGCGGTCGTGATGTGTAGCAACGGCTGCACACAACAAGCAGAGCAAACGTCAAATAGCACAGAAGGTGATCTTATCCATGCACACATTCATGTGTGCCGCAAAATGGACAATTTCGATGCATATCTAAATCACTTCCAATGGCTTCGTGAAAATCAATCATACATTATTTTTTATGAAATGAGTGTTCACAAACTAACTAAAGCTTTTCTATTGGTATTTAATTTTGAAAGAGAATAATTGTCATTTTGTTGTTGCTCTTCTCGTAATTTCTATTTCTGTGCACAAAATAAGTTATATTATAATATCGCCCAATAAAAGGGGAATAACGACAAAATGACCGGTTTGCTGAACGATAAATTTACAATTTCAAAACATTGGCGATGTTTTGACGGATCATCGTGATTTGCCTGAGGGAAACGCTCGCGAATGAACCCCAATTGGAGCACGTCCGTGATGCCCAACATGTGGTTTGCCCACTATCTACGTTTGGATGTGCGGAGAAACCGCAATAACGTCAATTTATTGAGCAGCATCTCGCACGAAAAGTGCACAAAGCAATGATTGTAGAGGAAGCAAATGTTTTTTAGGTTGAATTTTTGAACTTTGCTTTTCTTGAACACTTCGAATTCGAGGAAATCCAAACATTTTCAATACTTGATTTTTTATTTCGCTATCTGTAAAAGCCACAATTCTAGACTGCATTTTTCTTTTCGATAAAACCCACAACACGATTTTTTGAGGTTAAGTTTCGCTTTTCGCCACAATTAACAACTTCGTCTTCGATCTAAAGGCGTTAGTGATCGAACATACAAAATTGATACCAGAAATCCACCTTCGGCAAAATTTGAAATGAACGAACGCACCATGTTGAACAATCTGTTTATCCAATGCGAATCAATCGATTCGTTGATTGTCGAAAATAAGCAAATTGCGGTCGTTACTCGAAGCTCCAGAAGCTTTGACAAAGTAAGCTCCCGGTGTGCCTGGACGATCGTCGCTGGTTGGGTCTCGTCTTGGTTCTTGGCCCGGCCAGGGTGTCAAGTGTACCGCAGTTTATTGTCCCCGTCCTGCCCGTCTCATCGACCCTGTGATCGTCGGGTGCTCCTCAGCAGTGCAGTTTACTTTCCTGCAAACTGTCCTTCCTACCTGTCCACGTATTGTGCAAGCATCTTCAGGCATTGTTTGTGCCACTTTGTGCTGGCAATGAGGTTTGTGCAAGGTAGGCTGGAGCTTTCTCTTGTTACGTTACTGTCTGCTTTTCGAAGCCGCTTGCCTGAGCTGGGGGCTGTCAACGTGGTTGACTCTGAGGTGGAAAGATGGGTTCATGCATGGTTACGGCATGTACCTGTACTTCTCTGTCGGAGCGGACAAGGCCAGACACAGAAAGTTGCAGGACAATGTCGCCTCAGACACTGCAAATCATGAATTGCTCTCCGATAGCTTGCATGATGTTGTTCTTCCTTGTCAGCGCTTCATGGGCTTCTCGATGAATGGCAAGTTCGCATCTGGAGCTGCTGAGCAAGAGGAGGCCCGCTGCAGGCGACACGATCCCTTGGAGTCGAATCTGCGGGAGGCCACAATGAAGGCTTTCCTGCAGGAGTATGGCGCTCAATGCGCCGGCTTCCCAGATCGCAACAACGACTTCCACTTCAGCAATGAGTCTTGCCCCACGATCATTCCCAATTCACGCCGAGGTCCAGAGCGCAACAGCAGCTTTTCGAGAAATGGCAGAGAAGACCGCTGCTGATGGCGCACTGTCCTCAGCCATCAACTCGCTAACTCGCGCAGAGTGCTGCTTTTGCTGAGCTGGACTTGCCAGCATTTTGCCAGGTGCCAGCAGACTTCCTGATTGCCAAGGCCTGGGAATAACACCACGTTAAGACATTTACTTTCGTTCTACACCTACACCGCATTGGAGTATCCGACGGGAGCCGAAAGAATGGCAGCGTTGATGCTGCTCGTCGCGGCAAGCAGACCTGTCGGTTTCATGAGTCCCATTTGCGTCTTTGATCATTTCGGAATGAGACACGCGTGGGAAGTCGAATCAACGGCGTCGACAAGTGTCGCAGATGCCTCCAAAGGACGCCGATGGCAAAGCCGAGAAGGTCTTGGAGGATGGGGACCTGCTCGCAGATCCGTATTTACGAGCTTCGGAAAGGGGTGTGACGACCTGTGCTGTGCTTGGAGGCAGAGGGTGCGCATGAGATCCCTTTTCATGACCTGAATTTCTCCATGCAGGACATGGTGGCTGCGCCATATCCGGACGCTTCCGCGGCAACGCAGGCGAGGGTGTCGATGTTTCAGCACCATACCGTTTAGCCCTGAACCTCATAAGCTCTGCAGAGCGAAGGGACTGGGCATGTTCGGGTAGTGACGGGTAGTGCAGATGTTTTGGATCCTCGGAGCCCGTGGCCTGGAGCCTCAGCCATGGCCTTCCAACCCGGTATTCCGTTGCGGAAGAAGCGATGAACAAAAGCAGCCTCGGCCAGGCTTCACTGCAAGCCTTCGCAGCACGGTTGTCTGCAGAAGAACAGCCCCTGCAGGCCTCGGGTCTGCATTCTTCTGCCTGCCGTGGTGGCATTGTCGTTGTAGATGGTAGCACCAGAACCAGAGGATTTGGCGTTGGGTTCAGGGGTTCTGCATGGGCTGCGGCGGTAAGACAGAAGCCTGGCCATGCCTTGCTTTTGCCTCGTTCAGGTCTCCGTGTACACCGGCCTGACTAACAAGAAGTTGGTCTTGCCGCTGAGCGAGGCGATGCGGGGGAGTTCGGCGCACCTCACCTTCGTTCTGAAACAGCTGCTTCTGCTTCTGCGTGCACGCACGTGAGGTGTAGACTGTTCAGGGCAAGTCTGTGTGTCCTCCTGGGATTATCGTCCTAAGGCCTAGGCTCGTAGCACTTCAACGCAACCGAGCATGCCTGGAGTTCTGATCCGATCATCTTTCCTTGAAGCTTCGAGGGAAGAGCGGCTCCAGAGACTCCCGCGCGTCTTGCATTGAGTATGCGGTCCCCGTGCGCCCATGTCGTTTAGGCATCTTCTAGGCATTTTCCATCCTTTCCGTCTTTCGGTGGTGAAGCACTTGAAAGCTCCATGCCTCAGGAGTCGACGTTTTCTTGTCTGGGAACAGAAGACGTACACATGGACGGCGCCAGACTGAAGCACACCCAGCTGCAAGTGGCCAGGGCCTCGCGGCGGGCTGTGTTTACACAGAACATCAGCACGCCAATGTCACCAACTCCACTTTGCTCGACTGGCTGGCTAGGTCGCGCTTGCAGCTAGCGCCGATGCATAACTCCGAGCACCCGATGTCCTAGTCCCAAACCGTGGCACCGCATCCTTGCACCAATTAGATCCAATCCCGCGCCTGAGCCCAGCCTGGACAACAGAAGGGCTAGAGGCAGTGAAGATGTGCTAATAACGATGGATAACGATGGTGATGATGGCGGTGACAAGGGCCACTCACTACCCACCCCACCCCTGCGCGGCTCAAGGCTGGCCAAGCCGTGGAGTTCTTCTCAGAGGCGGAAACCGCAGCTCGGCGCAGCTCATTCTGCTCTTAACCCGGAAGTACACAGCTTCGCATGCTCCGAACCCCTGACACAACCACCAGGCCTAAAGGGCCCTAAACTCCGAAAACTCTGAGAAACAGCAGAGGCTGGAGCTCTACGGGCCGTGGTGCTTCTGAACACGGCGTCCGAGTTCGCTCTGAGCTCAGCTTTCACCGCATCTGGGTCAGTGCCTTGAGGGATTATGTTGCTGGTGGTGTTTCTGATCGCTAAGGAATGGGAAGCAGCCAAATGGAAACTTGTACACTGTGAGAGCGCATGAGTTCATTACATGTGCAATTTCGACAAAATCCATGATCGGGTTTATGGTCTGACAGTCTCTCCTTTGAAATATTTGCAGTCCGGAACGTACGAGTAGGGGTCGACAAGCTACAGCGGATGGATTCATTCGTAGGTCGCCTTCGGGGTCTGCCAGCCAGACTCCCGCGTGTCACAACGTTGCATGATCAAACCCTTAGCAATCCTCTTGGGCTCAATACCTCAAAGAGGGAGCTAGCCGAACAGAATTCCTGGCGGCGAACATACGATCACGAAGGATGAGGACGAGATTTCAAAAATTTGACAAATGATCGGCTGGGGGTCCTTCAAAAACACGGCAAGAAGGCAATATATAAATATTAGATATTTTCAAATATTGATCATATCAATTTCATAAGATCATTATTATGATAATTATGAATTAAAAGCGCGGTTCTAAAATAGAAAACAGGACGGCTATAATAATTTTTAGAATATGTTTTTAAATTACTCTTCTATATGAATTAGGACCCGAAATTGGGCAAATGAATTATTCTTATGATAGTAGATTAGTGATAAGAAGAATATTAAGATATATCTTCTTAGACTAGATGGATTTAAATAATAGAAAGGAGTGATTTCTAGTTGATATATAAGATGGAATATCTTGTAGAAATAGATTTAGAAGGTGGAACTTCTGATATGATATTGAGTCCGTAATTCTGAAGCTATTAAGATTATAATATGAGATCCGCGAATTGAAATTTAGACAATTTACTTATATGAAATGAAATTTCTAGAAATATAACTATTCTAAAAAATAATTATATAAATATTCGGATACTAGAATTAAGAATTAAAGAAAAATAGATTTACTTGATTTATTCGTTTATATTTTACAAATTGAAAAATTTATTACGAATTAACGATATTTATAGACTCTATTGATTCGAAAATAACGAATTAATATTAGGAATTAATTAATAATTTGAAAATATATTTAAATTATATTTTAGATTATAAAGACTATAATAATAAAATTCGATTTTCATGATATTTTCTTTACACAAATCCATTTTGGCTATGGGTCCGGCGTGGTCGGAGGTGTAAGGTTTGGGATTTGCTCTAAAGGGTAAACTCGATTCCAAACCCAATTTTGAATTAAATTTTGCGACTAATATTTTAAATACGTATTTCAAAAAATTCTAATGTTTTATATTAAGAAAAAGAGATAATATTTTTTTCGGAATTATTTTTCAATATATTTGGAAATTATTTTTGAAAATATTTTTTTTTAATAAACTTTTTGGCAGAAACTTTCGGAAATTATTTTCCAATATATTTGGAAATTATTTCTGATTTTTTTTAAAATTTGGCATAATAATATGAAAGTTATTTCTTTTTATATATATTTTGGTAATATTCTTCTATATATATATAAATAAAAATAAATTTCTTAGGCTCAGAATTCATGTTTATTAGAATCTTAAGAGCTAAATCCATGAACAAGATTTTAAATCTAAATAATCCTTAAGAATAAGAAGATCTCTAATTCCCTCAAGATTAGAAGGCTTCAGATTCAAAGATTCCCAAATTCCAGAAGAGTTCAAGGTCTCTGGTCTCGCAAGGCTAAAAGATCTCGAAATCTAAAGAATCCAGGGCAGAAGACCTGGAACCGAAGAAGAATAACCAAAAAAACAGCCTGAGGTCTATAATCTAAGGCCCATCTTCGAAGATATAGAGCGTAAAATGCAATAAACTGGGTCTAAATTCTGACATATCAATTTATTCAGAAATTCGTTTATAAATTTCAAGATATAAATAAAAGGCAAGAAAAATCAAGCAGAAAATCTACATATCTTTTTTTAAATAATGAATTCAAATAAATAGAAATTTACTTGTTGTGGCGGCGACATTATCATCGCCAATTTCGTTTTAATAAATATAGGTATTCTTTTATTAAATATCGTCAAAATATCGGCACTAATATTTTAAATAAAAATCTTTTTAGAAATAATTTCTGAATTTTTTTTTACCCCTTAAAAAAAAGAAATTATCGTTTTCTACTACTTATATAATTAAAGACTAAAATGAAATCGTAGAAATTTAATAATTATAAGAAAAAATGTATAAGATAGCACTATAAAAGAACGATCATTTTAAAATAACTCAATTACCATATATACTATAAGATTCGGGCCTTTACATACAAAAAAACCTAAATTCTACGGATATTTTCGCGAGCATAGACTTTTCAGATTTCATAATTCATTTAAAAATACAAACAAGCCGATTCAAGACTAGATATTCCTATAAAAATCACAGAATTAAAATATATATCAATTTATCAATATAATAGATTTAAATAAAGATGGCTCATAGAATTAATTACTATTCTTCTGAAATATATTTATAATCGACGAACCATATGACATAAGATAATTAAATTAATATAATCATTATCTTTTATAATCAAAATAGAATTTCTTATCATATCTTTTTCTCTTTTATCAGATTTCCAAAATCTTTCTCTATTATTATATATTTTCTTCTATATATATTATGTTTATCTCTTAAATATTTTTATTTTCTATATTTTTTAGATTTAGAATCCCGTATAATCGAGTTTAGGGTTTAGTCTTATTATTTTTGTTTTCTATAATATTTATTCTATCAAATCTTTTATTTCGGTATTATTTATTTCTATTAATACCACTTAATTCCTCCTTAATATAATTTTTTCTTCTTTTCATCAATTTCTTGTCGTAATTTTTTCCGAATCATATCAAGATAGTTCAATAATCTAATCTCTCCAAATTCTTTTATTAAAGAACCGATCTCATTATATTTGTAGTAATATCCCTACATTTGCGAAGCTATAACCTTTCAAGAAAAACAATTATTTTGAGATTTAACAAATCATGCCATATAATCCCTCCATAATTCTTTACCCATGCCTTATATTTATTCTAAAAATCCCCAAGCCCTAAATCCGAATCTCCCCGAATCTTAAATCCATAATAACCTTAAACTCCTTTTATTCGAAACTAAGCAACAATCATCCCTTATATTTATAAATCTATTTATAAGAATCCATATGGATCTTAATCAAAATTGATGTGCTGCAAGTTCCAAACCGGCGGCGGTTGCAGGAACTGGTTTTGTTATCTGGCTTCTTCCTGCTGTCGAGTCCAAATCTGCAGCACACCTCAGCACTGCCATGTCGCTTCTAAGTCAGAGTGACTCAGCCTCACCGGAGCAGCACACAAGCACAACCCATGTCCACAAAGCCAGGACCTAGCCACAGAACGCTGGAATACTGAGGCTCCGGCGAATGATGCAAAGATGAATTAGCAAAGACTGCCTTGAAGCTTGCGCTTTTGATGCGGTCAGAACATGATCCAAGCGGTCTGATGAGGCCATGGTGGTTTCGGAATTGAGTCAGCCTTCGACTCTGTCAGTACTCAGTGCAAAAGATCATTCGTCTGCAATAAGGGTCTTTAATTGAATCAGGGATTCAGCTTCCACGGGTGCGACCCTTGACCGCTGGAACAAGGATGCTGACCACAAGGCCGCACTTCGAAACTCGCCGTCTCGGAAGACGATTGCCAGAGGATGCCTGATGCGCTGCTGATCGAAAGCCACTGCAGTTGCCTCACTTGTGAGAGTTCTGAGATTGGAAAAAGACCCATTGCAGAACACTTGGGTAGGTGCATGATTTTGCCTAGCGAGCTGCGAGGAAAAGAACTGCAGTCGCTTGATGGGCATCCCGTGACCGGAGTTGTGCACAGCATAGCTGGAAGCGTACGTTTCCCACAGGAATCTGACGCTCCAGGCAAGTCTCTCTCTCGGCAACTGCACATTGATCACTGACACATACTGCTGACACTCTTTCCTGTGAGACATGGTAAGCCTTGGTGCCTCGACTCTACTACAGCTGTAGCCCAAGTCCCAAAGCAAGCTTTCAATACAGTTGCTGATGCAGAGACTTTGGCATTCAGAAGTCCGTCGTGTCATCACTGGAGGTGCATGATGGGCCCTAAGCAACATGAAAGCGTGCCAACCACGAACGTGGGACACTTCGACACACGTCCGCAAGTGCTGCAATCATGCTCGGTCCCGATGAGGAAATCCTGTGTCCTCGAATCTAAACTCAAGCACTAACACCAATAAGTACAAATTCAGTGCAGTGTGAGGGAACATGCAGCAGTCAGTCAGAGTCTAGCTGTTGTGAACACTGCCACTGAACTGCTTCAGGTGCTCGAACCGTGGAACAGACTTTCCAATCTTGGCAGACCACTTCTCGTCGAAACAGAACCAATATGAGTGGTTCTGAATGGCCTAATGTCCAATCTACTCAGCACTATCCGCACTGAATCATATGCTCTGCATTATCTCCGGCTCAAACGCGACATTTAAAGTCAGCCAGAACGGTGTGAGTGATGACAGAACCGAACAGCTCAAGCGTTAGACTCTCAATGCAAAGATCGCTTGAGACCTCGGCAGGGGGATGTCGCCGAACTGGCGGCGCTGAGTTCGTTTTGCACCCCGATCCAATATTATGATCCATAGCCATGGAGCATCCCGGAGCTTCAACAAATAAGAACGTCCTGTCATGCATCTGATGAGGCTCCTCCTAACGATTTAGAAAGTCTCCAGGCTGCCTTGCCCGAGTCAGGTTGGGAGATCCGCTTGTTGTGTTATGCCGATGTACAAGGCTCATGCATGTCGGATGACCCGAAAGGTCACGAGCAAGGCCTGTATTGATACCATCAGAAACAAAATGTTGACTGCCTGTGGGCCCCACATACCCCTGGGTTTTAGACTTGCGCACGGTGTCGGGGTTGTAGTGGCATTTGACACTGGATCTATCACTTCATTCGGCCCGCCTCCTTAGAGATCATAATCTACGTGTGTCTGTGTCAATGTCTGTACGATCAGTTTGTCCAGCGCCCCAGAAACAGTCATCATGTTACAAACACATATCCACATCCCAAGTCTTGAAATGTATTATTCATCCTTCCT